CCATTACTTGCACCCCCAGCTTCTCAGCTTCATTCCATCGTCCCTGATTCCGGTAGGTTGATGCCAGGTTAGCCATGCTGGCCAGAGTGACAGGATGCTCAGCTCCCAGCACTGTCTTGGAAGTCTCGATTACTTGTACCTCCAGCTTCTCAGCTTCATCCCATCGTCCCTGATTCCCGTAGGTTGATGCCAGGTTCACCATGCTCGTCAGAGTGTTGAGATGCTTAGCTCCTAGCACTGTCTTGGAAGTCTCCATTACTTGCACCCCTAGCTTCTCAGCTTCATTCCATCGTCCTTGATCCCGGTAGGTTGATGCCAGTTTTGCCACACTGGTCAGAGTGGAGGAATGCCCGCGCCCATTTCTCTCCTGATTGATTTCCATGAGCTTCTTGTATAGACCCTCCGCTTCTTGATATCTTCCATCACTAGCAAGGCAATCTGCAATCCTCTCAACCAAATCGATGTTTTGTTTTATAATGAACTCGGTTCCTTGCACAAGCGCCAAAGCATGAGGGAGGTATTCTCGCCAAAGTCCTTGATTAGTATAATGATTATCTGGAAAAACCTCCTGTATCCGATCAGCCACCCTTTGGATCCAGGAACTGAGCAGTCCATTCTTTCTAAGCCAGTTCCGGGTCGCAATATGCACAAGTCTGTGCATACTTATATCCATGTCTTGGCTGTTAGTGAATGAGTATGCATTCAGAAGCCCCAGGGCGTCAAGCCTCCGTTTCTTGGAAGTTTGAAGGGGAAGAAGAGACTGGGGGATATTTCGTGGATGAACACAGGCCATAAAGGATAGATAGTCTGCTGCTAATTGATCTTGACGCTGAATCTGTTTAAACAATATTAACCACGTGGTGATAACAGGGTTCTGGATATCCTTATAGCGTCCTGGATCCCTAAAGTCTTCGCTAAGGAGTTCCACAGCACCTTGTTCCTGCTCTTGGAGAAGCGTAAGGTAGGTAGACAGACTCATACCGTTTTCAATAATATATCCTGATGCCTGTGCAATTGCCAAGGGAAGAAAGGCCAGTTGCTCTAGGAGAGTGGCTGTTGTGATATTATCTTTGAGCAAGTCCTCATGTGCCAATGTCCTTTGCAGAATTTTTAATGCGGTTTCTTTATCCACATCTGGAATCGGAACAGTATTAAATGGTGCCAGCTTCATGGCAAGTTTTCGGTTTCGGGTAGTGAACAAAATACGGCCTTGTTCACTCTGAGGGAGAAAGTCCTCAAGGGCTTGAGCTGTGTGACTGGTTGCTAACCACATGTCCGTGTCATCCGCATTATCAAAAATCAGAAGCCACTTTCCTGCATGCTTGGAGTTGAGGTATATCTTGATCTGTTCTTTAGCCTCTGCTGCCTTCATGCCATGAAGTCCGAGTGTCTGTGCAATACTCAGGAACGTCTGCTTAATCATTGCATGGCTAGTACATGGAATCCAGAAAACCGAGCACTCCTTGTCTCGGTCCCGTATGCGGTGTGCTAGCTCTAGGGCCACTTGTGTCTTCCCAACCCCTCCTAAACCAGTGATTGCAACCCTCCTGGGCCCATCTTGCATTGTTATTAATTCTTCTAGCTCCGTGATTTCATCCTGGCGACCGACAAATTTTGGATTTCTTGCCAGCGAGACCACCCAGTGCCGCACTTTATTGCTCCTCAGCAAGCTGAAATCTGTACGGCACACAGGCATGACCGATAGTAATAATTTTGCATAGGTAGCTGCTGTCAAAGCTGCATATCCTTGCCACTGTTTCTGCTTATGGGAATCACAATAGTTGCATATCCCTCGGATCACAAGTGTTGGAAGCTCGTCCATAAGGCCTGCTGCCTCCATCTCAAAGCAAAGTATCCCATGTTGTTGAGCTAGACGGTCTCGCGTTTCTGAGTCCTTCATCACCTGATCCCCGGAGGCAATCAACCCATAGTGGATATAAGGCGTCCTTAGGTCACGCTGTGGTTGTTTGACTAATTGCTCTTTATCGCACTTTTCGCAAGTATCTTCTTTGTCAACATGGCGATAGGAGGAACGGAAAAGAAAATCTGTATGCTCTTGTGGGGGAGAAAATCTGTCTTTTAAGTTGTGGTTTCGTTCCAGTACTTCCCACACCGTTTTTGAAACAGTGTCCTCCCCCCCAATCATCTGCCTTGTCTCGAGTTGACTCATATGCGTCAAAAGAGTCTGTGGTGGTTTATTTAAGGTGCCTGTTGGCTCGAAATTCCCACCTTCAACTGCCTTGCCATAATCATACTGTATCACCCCACTATGATTTCAACCTGGTTTGCTGACAACTACATCGCCTAATCGAATGTCATTGTTTTTTTCCCGGGATCCCCCCTCTAATTCCTACCATCAGTCCAAACTGAAGCTGTGGGAACGTTGAACGCATGCGAGATACAACAGTTGTAGCAGACACGGTTCCATACACGCCAGCTGGTAGGTAGGCAATGACTATATAATGGCCGTTCAATTCGCCAAGTTCGTAGGCGTTGGTGTCAGTAGACCGTGGAGGTAGGGTGTGGGTCTTGTCTAGCATGGCGCTTGCCGCTGCCGCCTCTAAAGACAAGGCGCATATCCATGCGATGGTGTAGTCATTAGGTGTGAGGGAAACCATCGTTGTCACAACAGGAACCGGATGGAAATATAGCCTAGATTTGTTGAAAATTCACGTCGTAGCTGTAGAGGTAATCTAATGACGTACGGGGACTAAATGAAGAAACTCTCAGGTTGGGGAAGGAAGAGGGGTAATCAGCTTCGTGTCCTGCAAGGCTGTCTCATGTGACCCCTGGTCGTCTCCAGAACGGTCAAGCTTTCTTGATATCGCCTGGCCACGATCTCGGCCCGTACTCCTAGATAACGATTTTAGCAAGCTCCTTGCCGCACGTTTTAGGGTCATATCGCTCGCCGAGGTATATAGCTCTCGTGTCTGCATGGACCAATCCAACTTTGTGTCCCATAAAAGTAGGCAATCCCGCCAGCGATTGATTGGGTATCGAAGCCGACGAAGAAACAAGTTCGACACGATGAAGGACGCGTCAGGAGCCTTTAGTTCTGGATACCTTCAGCAGCGTTGGATGGCGGATAACTCCGGCTCATGTTCCAATTGCATTTCGAAGCAGAGCGCTAGGTAGACGGCGCGGTACTAAATATTGGCGTTCTGAGTAGTATTTTCATTTGTCGCACCAAGCGTCGCTGATACCCTCTTCTTGAACAAGTAACTCCTGGTCCTTCTCCAGCGGCATAGTTTCGGAGATAACTGGATCGGGGAGTGTATCGTCCAGAATGCGACCATAACATTATTATCGAGAGAACCCAAAAGCAATCAGAAAACTGCTCCCATTTTATAAGAGCTGCTAGATCGTCGTTCACGAACGACATTAAGCGAACGTGTTAACTAGCCTTTGAATGACTAATTATGCTGAGTCATCTATCTAGCATGTGACATGCCTTTTTCTAGTTTTCGTGGTTCAATCGCCCTGTTGCCATGGCGAATTGTATCACTGCTTTAACAACCTCCATGTTTGGTCTCCAGTTCTTTTCCTGGTCAAGTTCTTGTCCTGTCGGTCCCTTTCGACTTGACCGGCCTCCTAACGCATATGATATGTCCCTGTATTGATTGCCCATTACTTCTATCATTTCCCCCCAGTATGTGTCCCATTATTTGCAATCAAAGAGGAAATGTTATACTGTTTCTTACCCCTCTGCGCAGTCACAGGTTCCATCAGCTGCTTGTCTAATCTGATGTAGGTATTGATTCAATTAATTATGGCCTGTTCAAAGCTGTGCCAGGGCTGATGCTTATATCCTGCTGAGCTGATCATATAGGGTTCTAGTATGTCTTCCTGGTAGGGATGCATCGATCTCCCTTGTATACTTTCCGAAAGGATTTTGTAGAAATTGCTCCTTTCGTGCTTAGTTAAGCATATTCCGCAGTTCCCTCCAAGCAGTGGATCTTGCGCGTTGGGTTGCCCAGGCTGGTGGATTTGGCTGACTTCCTTTCTAGGTGGCATATTGGCTCGCTGCCTTAGCCATCTGAAGTCCTTTGTTTTGTAAATCATTTGCTATCCCTCTGATTATGAGCTGAATCTTGATTTGCAGCATCTCCTTAATCTATTTTATGATTTGCTGTATGACTTGCTGTCCTCCCTGGGATGCTTGGTTGGTGATAACCTGTAGGCTGGATTAATTAGTTGAATAAATTATGATACCCATGAGGTCTGTCAACGTTGGGGGGCCTTAAATCAGTTCCCGTGCCAGCTGGAGTGCTTCCAGGATAGCGCCAAGCTGGGCGATGTGTAGGTCTATATAGTGGTCTGTCGCCACTGTTGTGGAGGTTGATTTTGTAACTTGATCCCTAATTACTACCGCCAGACCAATTCCAATCAGATTATTCCGCGCTGATCCGTAGACGTAGATTTTGATTTTCAGTCTCTCAAAGGCTGTCACTGGGGTTTTTGATCCCTCATGATCTATAACCTTTTGCCAGTCTAACTCCCATGGGGCAGAATAGTATGGTTTGATTATCTCCATGCGACTTTGTTTAAGTGGCAGAACCCAGGAGAGTAATCCAAAAGGTGATCTAGACTGCCAGTTGATGCTCTGTATACACCCAGTAAGTAGGTGGGTACTTAGTAGGCTGTGGCATCCAATCCAGTGGTGGAAAATCTGCTTTCAGATATAGATATCTAGAGGTTCAATGCTAGCTTCGGCTTCTGTGATTACTAGGGAGACTATACAGTAGATCCCAGCTATACTCTTTGCTGCTGACTTTTGGATCACATTTAATGGTTTGATAACCCACCTTGGGATATGCCCATGTTTTTTCACTATGGTCCAGACTGATGAAGCATAGGTAATGGTTGGCACTACCAGGGCTCTGTAGAGCTGCCGCGCACTTTGTGGTCGGAGACCTTTCAGCTGTAGTAGCGCTTGGCTAGCTTTGATGCCTCTCTTGGTGACCCGGCCAACATGTTCTCTGAACCAGAGTTGTTCGTCAAAGATGACTCCTAGGAGTTTGACTGTATTGCTTGGGCAGATATTCTGTGTTCTAATGCATAGTGCTTGTCTTGGGGAGGGATTCCGTCTAGTAGTCCTTGTGAAGTGGATGAACTGGGTCTTCTATGCTTTAAATATTGCCCCTGACTGCTTTGCCCATCCTAGAGCATGAGGGATTACTTTTTCCTAAAGGACTGATGTATTCTCATCTGCAGATTGTCCCATACACCAGCATGTGAAATCATCCATAAAAGCCATTGAACCCCCACTCTAGTTGATTAGTATCTTGATCAGGTCCGCATTAAAGAACAGGTAGAGGATAGGTGACAGGGATGAGCCTTATGGCAATCCTGGGTATGCAATCTCCATGGCTTCTAAGCAATACTTATTGACAATGATTAATGCACTTTGGTTTGAGTAGAATGCATCAATCCATCTTACTAGTTTAATTAGTACTTTTCTTTCCTGGAGTCGCCGGATCAGGACCTCCTTTATCACCCTATTATAAGCACCTTTCACATTAAAGCTGACTGCGCTGAGGACCTTCTTTTCTCTCCATGCTTTATGGATTTTTTCCACTAAGAGATTCAAAGCCTGTTTACTTGATTGTTTCTTTCTTGCCCCAAAGTGGTTAGGTGGTAGGAGGGCAAAGACCTCAGCATAATATGACAGCCTTTGTGCAATAACTACTTCCAGTATCTTGCCCAGGTTAGATAGTAGTGAGATTGGTTGATATGAGTTTGGTAGTGTTTTGTCCTGTCCTGGTTTATGCAATGGGATGATCTTTGCCACCCTCCATCTCGCCGGGACATAGCTGAGCTTGATTAAAGCGCGAAAGATCTGATATATATCTTCTCCTAACACTGGCCATAGTCGCTGCCATACTCCTGCTGGGATCTGGTCCTCTCCAGGAGCTTTCCATGGATTAACCCGCATCACTACTCTTTTTATCTCTTCATCTGTGATTGGATCCATTTGTAGAGAGGGCACATTAGGATCCCCTAATAGTTCTGAGCTTTCTGGGGTTAGTGGGAAGAAGGCAGAGAGCAGGGACTTTGCTTTCTCTTCCTCTGTTTCTGCTGCAGGTCTCTCCCCATCAGCACAGAGTGATGGGATCAGCTTCTTGTTATTTGTCTCTTTGGTGTATCGTGCCACTGTCCAGATATTCCCTGTTTATTCTAGGAATTCTCTCTAGTGCTTACATTTCTAGTCACAAATGGCAGTATGGAATTGATGGTGAAGCTATTTAACTTAGCTCTCCATATCAGGCTGGTTCACTCCATATTGACAAAGCTGTGTCCACTGGTTTTTAGCATAGGTATAGGTATTGCAGAGTTCTGTTAATTCTTCTGTCCACCACTGTTTGCAGTAGGGTGAAGGCTTTGCTCATGGTATACAGGCATTAAGAGTTTCTAACACCTTTCCCATTATTAACCCAAGCTGTCTCTCCAGCTCTACTGAATCCTGTGTGTCTGGGAGGGTTATCCTATTATGGCTTATCCTGGTAATGATTTCATCCCATAGGGCCTTTTTCCACATGTATCGCGGAGGGTTGGTTATCTCTTTGGTAGGCCTTTGCTGAGTTGGGCTAGTGAATATTGCTTTAATTACTTGATGGTCTGCTCCATGTTCTGTTGGGTGGCATTAGCATAAGGTGAGCCTCTTCTTGAGGCTGTCTGATGCCATCACTAGGTCAATTATTGATTGCCAGTGGCCGGAGTCATATGTGATGGTCCCCTGGGGGAGTAGGCTATGTAGCCTATGGTCAAGCATCAGCTCAATCAGGGACTAAGCTTCCCCTTGTCGCTGTGTGTGTATGATATGATCTCCTCCCCATAACTGATTATGGCGGTTAAAGTCTCCACTAATAAGAATATCCAGCTTCACTCCAAATCTCTTTTGCTGGGTGCGGATCATCCTTCAGATAATGTTTATTATTCTTATTAACTCTTCCTGCCCACTACTCCCATTTTACGGTGGCACATAGGCAGTTATAGCCAAGAGCAGGCAGTTATAATGAGGGAGAATAACCGCCGTAATGTCTGTTAAGCTTGTTTTAACTTATTGTATCCCCTTTTGGTCCTTTCAGACCCAGATCATGCTGCGTGTCTTCATTGTTGCTTCCCCTTCCTCTGGCTTGTCACTGGGCATGATTGCCCTCCATTTATTATGGGTATGAGTGTTTCTTTAGTTTTCTTTATAAATCATATATGGTTCAGATACCATCAGTAAGTCGCATATTGCTAGTGTTCTATCATTTAAGAAACTCAGTTGTACTTCCCGGCTTTTCTATAGGTTAGTGTGTATGATTTATAGCATTATAAGTCCTGGGATAGATTGCTTCCCTAGTAGTTTTGTGATTATGATTGCTTTCCTCCTCTTATCTAGTTAACTTCTTCCTGCCACCGTGGGCACTGTTAGTCTGAAGCTTAGTGTGTACCTCTATATGCACCGCACTTTTCCCCATGCTCATTACATTCCTGTTTTTGGTGTGGCCCAGAGCATCTTTCACATACCACTGGCATTTTGCACCGTGACTGCTTGTGCCCATATCCCTAGTAGTTTCGGCATCTCAGTGGTCGTTGTATGTACTGATATTCAGAGGTAAATAAGACCTCT